CTCTTTTTAGGGAGGTTTAGTTAAGAAAACTAGAGACTTGGTTTACTTTAAAAATTGTATCACATCTAGGGGCTGGGAATGTGGCCTAGTGGCAGAGTGCTTGCCTCTCATGCATAAAACCCTGGGTTTGATTCCTCAGAACCACATATACAGAAAAAGCCGGAAGTGGCACTGTGGCTCAAGTAGTAGAGGTCTAGCCTTGAGCAAAAGATGCTCAGGGACAGTGCCCAGACCCTGAGACCAAGCCCCAGGACTGGCACACACACAAAAAAAGTATCACACCTAGAAAACCTGAACATTTTTCTGTACTAGGAATGTAACATACATGAATACGTCATTAAGCTTTATTTATTCTTTGCAAATGAGCAAATAGACACCAAAAGTGTCCTATTCCTTGCCTTAGAAATGTGTTATTTCATTCTTCTCCCTGTGTAAAGAGAGGGCCCTTCTCTTTAGTGCCTCTCATGCTTGGTAGTCCTGTCCAGCGGGTTGCTATTTCATGCTTTCAATTGCCAGCTCCCAGAGCTGAACATACATCTCTGCTTCCTTTCATAAGTCAATAATCTGTGCCAGCTGTTTTCCAAAAATAGACATCCAGAAGGCACTAGAGCAGACCTGAATGTAGATTTTCTTACCATACATTTCTTCACCTTTTCCTGGCTTGTCTGGGCTTTACTATCCTCAGGCTAAGCAGGGAATTGGGTGGAGTATATGACTATCATCGATTTCCCCTCTATCCCTTTTTTTATGGAAACTCAGGAGGAACTGTTAAAAATCTGTGTATTACAGGACCAGCACTGAATACTAAGAAGCTGTTAAAGGGTGAGACAAATAGCATCTATACCAGTTGCTTTTCTTAAAGGTTCAGTGCTTATTATAATCCAACACTGAAATGATTGATAGTGATATCAGTTGCTGAGAACTCAAGGCTGTTACACAGACGTAAAAAAATTATTAAACGCAGTGAAATGATAAAAGTAAGTGAAAAATTATATAATAAAGCTGAATTTTTCAGCTTCTTGGCTGTCAGATTTTGCAATAAAAATGTATCTTAATTTTATACATCGGCATAAATCTTTGGGACAAAAAGAAAGATTTCTCACTAAAACTACATAAGAATGGTACAATTCATCCTATCTACAACCAACAAAAACTAGCAATGTACCCTGAAAGGATTTAGCTTTGAATTCTTGAAGATCAACTTAGGATAAACAGTTTGAACTGATTTCCTCAAAATCTTTGTGCTTGAACCAGTGTCCTTTAGGCAAATAGTTCCTCTTCTAATGTTAAACACGAATGCATTAAGGAAGATGAAAATAAGAGCCACTATTTATGGAGTACTGCACTGTTCACTTTTCATTTTTCTATACTTAGTTCGTACAAAAAAAATGTGTTTCAGATCATATAGATTGTAAAGGATAAAGTTGAAACTGGTCTTGACTCTGAAGTCCTTGGTCTTGTTCTGAGACTCTGAAAATGAAAATATAGGCTGCAAATCATATGCTCAGCAGTCAAGAAGGGATTATCAGTTACTTCAAGGAGCAAAAGAAAACCAATCACAAACAACATTGCTGCCAACTTCCATTACCAGAATTGAACAGTGCTATGCTTAACTTCCCTCAGACTACCACAAGGCTAGTTAGAATGTTCCAGAGGCCCCAACCATCACCACACTAGATTCATTCCTTTGGAAACTCATAAGTTCCAAATGAGATTAAGAATACTATAAAGCAATAAACACTAACATTGTAATTATTCATGGCAGCCTTAAGAAGATATATATAAAAATATGATACACATTGGAAACTCCTCCTACAAAGGACAACTACCTAATGTACTCTCACTGAAAGCTTCCAGTAGCATGGTGTGCTAACTCCTAACATAAATAAATCTCACCTGAAGCAAACTTCCTGAAGAGAAGAATATGTTGAACAAAAGGTTTCTCCTCAGGACCACTGTGTAAATCAACTTTAAAGAAAACATTAACCCGGAGAAACAGTTCAATTAAAAATCCTATTGCTTCTCTCCTCAGGTATTAATGTTATTCCCTTGTTGGCCCAAATCTCCCATTTCTCTGCCAGAATCTCATTCTTCACTCATAAAGTAATAACCACTTATTTAGCATAGACTATGTGTCAGTACTATGATCTGCTATTTCCTAATTTATTCCTTTACATGATTCCATAAAGTTGGTCCTATTATGTCATTCCTATTTTACATGGAGGAAAAAGAAGTTACTGGCACAAGTTACAGAGATAGCAAGTAACCGCAGTGGCAGAGAAGAGGAGATAAGAGGGGATGTAGACAGAAGGGAACCTTACTACATTGTTGGTGGGAGTGTAAACTTGTTCAACCACTTTGAAAAGTAGTATGGAGGTTCCTCAAAAGACTCCACATAGAGCTCCCCTATGACCAAGCAATCCCACTTTTGGGCATTTACCCAAATGATCACAAACAAGACCACACTAAAGCTACCAGCACAACTATGTTTATTGCAGCATTATTTACCATAGCTAAGATATGGAACCAACCCAGATGCCCCTCAGTAGATGAATGGATCACGAAAATGTGGTATATATACACAATGGAATTCTATGCCTCCATCAGAAAGAATGACATTGCCCCATTTGTTAGGAAATGGAAAGGCTTGGAAAAAATTGTATTAAGTGAAGTAAGCCAGGCCCAAAGAAACATAGGTCCCATGGTTTCCCTTATTTGCAATAACTAGTGTATGTCAGAGTCAAGCAGAAAAAGTCAGATAAGTTGATATTAGGGAAATGAGCCCCAAGATAAGTATTCAAATGTTTTTTTTCTTTCATGCAATTGTTTCTAACATATTTATAAGATGATTTCTTTGTTGCTTTGAATGCCCCTCCCCCACGGTATAACCCCTGCTTTCCCTTTTTTGATGTTGGTATAATTTGTGGAGGGGAAGGGAAGAATCAAATCATTTAACTAAGGATACATATGGACCCATTGCAACAATGAGATGCCACAAGTTGTTATGCTAAAAAACGAACTTTACAACTTTGGGGGAGAGGGATGGGATAGAGGGGGTGGGGTGGTATGGGAAGGGATGGGAAGGGGAAACAAAGGAGGAGACAATGCTTAATAAGAAATGTACTCGTTATCTTGCCCATGTAATTGTAACCCCTCTGTACGGTATTTTCACAATTAAAAAAAAAGAAGAGGAGATAAGAATATTTGCAAATAGTTATCACAATGAAATGCCCTTGTGCAATTAATACTTGCTAATAGAAAAAAAAAAGCTTTTTAAAGGCTTTTTAAAGCCTTTTAGTTGAGGAAGAAATATAGGGAGAATGATGGCAGGGGTGACAATGAGTAAGATACATGGTCCTCACAGGCTGACATATTGAAAGGAAACCCCTTTGTACCACTATGCACAGATAATTTAATTAATTTAAGAATCAAAGAAGAAATATATACAAAATCCTCATTTTTAAATAATTAGATGGAGCTCTCATAGCAACTTGAAATATTCTTCCTAATATTTCAAAAATTATCTCGGTCCCTCCTACTACGTCCTGCAGTGGTTTCAGAAATTCAGCAGGACAGAGTGGGAGAGACACCTGAACTTATAGGCACAGGCAGGAACTTCCTGAACAGACTTCCAGGGTCACAACAAATTGGAGAGACTCGACAAATGGAAATACCTTAAAATAAAAAGTTTCTGCATAGCTAAAGACATAGCAACCAAACTAGAAAGACAACCAAAATATTTATCAGCAACATATCAGACAAGGGGTTAATATCAGTATATACAGGGAACTCAAGAAACTAATCCCTCCCAAACCCAACAAACCAATTACTAAATAGGCAAGGGAACTAAAGAGAGACTTCTCAGAAGAAGAGATAAAAATGGCAAAGAAACACATAAGGAAATGTTCATTATCCCTGGTTGTAAAGGAAATACAAACAAAGACAACTCTGAGATGCCACCTTACCCCAGTAAGAATGGCCCACATCCTAAAGTCAGCCAATGACAAATGCTGGATGTGGAGAAAGAGGAACTCTACTGCATTGCTGGTGGGAATGTACACTAATACAACCACTTTGGAAAGCAGTCTGGAGGGTCCTCAGAAAGTTAAATATAGACCTCCCCTATGACCAAGCAACACCACTCATAGGTATCTATCCTGAACAACAGGAACCAGGATACAAGGACACATGCACCTCCATGTTTATTGCAGCACTGTTCACAATAGCCAGGATATGGAAACAACCCAGATGTCCCACCACAGATGAATGGATCCAAAAATTGTGGTAACTATACCCAATGGAATATTATGCAGCCATTAGAAAGGACAAAATAATGGCATTTGCAGGGAAATGGACGGAACTAGGAGAAATCATGTTGAGTGACGTAAGCAAAGGGCAAAGAGACAAACAGCACATGGTCTCCCTGATAAATGGATGTTAAATCCAAAACGTAAGGTGATATGACAAAGTTAACAAGACGTGAGAAACAAAGGACCTCCACTCATCTGGTGGAATCACTACTAAATAACCCCATGCTGCTGATTACACATATGGTATATATGTGTACACAGGAGGGAAACTAGGAGGAGGACACAGAACTTGAGGAAACCAGGGAAAAACATACAACAGCAGGACCCATCAGCTGCACTGGACATGGATCAAAATGAACTAAGCAACTCAATGGCAGCGATGGGAGGGAGGGAATGAGTGGGAAAGAGGGAACAGCTGACACTACGCAAAAGGAAAGGAATGTACACATCATCCAACGTGGAAGAAATAACTGTATTGTCAAAGCCCATAGAACTCATCAACTTTATAGACCACGATAGACCATTTGCCCCATGAAAGTTAGAATGTGTTTGTGAATTTAACTAAGCATCACTATCCCAAAATACTGTAAAATTTGTGAAATTATGTAATCACTTAATCACAATAAAGAATTTGCAAAAAAAAATTATCTTGGTCCAAGCATAATTCAGAAGGGAAGAAAGTTTACTTACAGGTATCATCCAGTTAGCCAAGTCACCATATTTGGAAACCTGCATGGCTCCTAGCATTGTTAGATCGACATGTCCCCTGAGAAAGAAAAAGAATATAGAAAGCAAATTTCATAAACTTTACGTTCCTATTGCTTGAAAACATCAAAAATTAAGAAAAATATTTATACTCCCCAAAATACATGTCCTTGTCTTCTCCCATGCTTTCTAAATAGACCAGCTCAAAGCTAATGCAGCAAAATGCAGAGTTCTTTTTAAAAATTATAGCCTAGATTGTCTCCAAAAACAAATTCAACATACATGTACACATTAAAATGTGTTGCTTTCAATGAGGAAGAAGGTGACTGGATTTGAAAACAAACACTAGCTGAGAACCTTCGTGAAAGACCCTCATGAAAGGTTATCTCCACCTAGCTGGTGCAAAGATACATGTTCTATGTTGGAGGGTTCTTTTCTTAATAGTGGGCTGGGTATTTCAATGCTCAGCCACCAGTGGGATTGACTTCATAGCTTCCTGCAGCTGAATAAGCTGTGATACTTTAATAGGACTGTGAGAAGTAAACCTAGGCTTCAGAGCCTTGCTCACACACTTTGGATGACTCAGCTCTGCCTGCACCACGATTGTGAGGGGCTCCATTATTACATACCCTCTAATCATTGCGAATGATTCATCGCTGGAGAAAAAAGAAGCTCCTGGAAGAACAGTAACTGTTTCCTTGCCTAAACACACACACACAGAAAGGAAGAAAAAACAAAAGGAAGAAAAGACTATTACATTTCTAAGGATATCATGGTGAACCAAGGGTCTACACATCTTTGCTTCCAAAAAACAAAAACAAAAACAAACTTAAACTCCCTTTATTAGAGAGAAAAGGATAGTTTTGACACCATCACTATTCAGCATTGTTGGGTAAGGTACTAATCACCAACGTCTGATGATATTATTTGTAAATTCTGTATAGGCAATGTATCTTTCTATTGCCTGTCCCTACTCTGCCTCCCGCTCACCCCATGCCCTTTCACAAGTCACTGTAAAATGCAAATAAAAATGAGGAGAGACTTTGGGGGTGACATTTGTCAGGATCAATAAAATTTAAAGTCACTAGAGTTACAGAATAAACATGAACTGGAGAACTCTAATTTTGAAAAGGATTTCATAGAAGCTGTCCTTCAGGTTTCCTGTTTTTGTTGTTGGTGGTGGTGGTTTTAAATCAACTCTCAGTTAAAAGATCTAGTATATAGTACCGTGGCTGTAATTGACTATACTTTATGGTATATTTGAAATTTGCTTAGAGAGTAAATCTTACACACCCTTGCCACAAAGCAAAAATGGTGATGTGAGGTGATGAGTATGTATGTTCATTAACTTGATGGTAGTAATCATTTCATAATGTATACAAATATCAAATCATGCATTATCCTTCAATAGGGCTAGGGAATAAATAACATAAAAGTCAATTAGCAATACATGAAGACTCATCTAAAACCCTACTATCATTAAGCCTGAGCCCTCTTATTTTGTTCTCTCTCCTTTCTTCCCTCTTTCTCCTTTTCTCTCTTCACTTTATCTCATGCCCTGATCTCTTGTCCTCTTTTCTCCCCTTCCCCTTTATCTCTTTTCTCACTCCTTTATTTTAAATGTATCTTTATCTCTTGTTCCTGTACACTTTTACAAAAACTATAAGATCTTGACAAAGTGGGGAAACAGTATGTTAGTCCTGGACAACTTATTTAGTGAAAGAATTCTCTTGGAAGGACTTCTAAAATGTACCTATTTTACTTAAAGTTCAGAGCTAGGGAAACTCTTCACATTTTCCCAGGCTCCATGAGTCAAGTAATATAACTTAAACCTAATAGGCTCTCCCTTTTGTCTCCTCTCATTCTCTGCTTCTTGCCTGTTCAGGAGCTTCAGGTGTCCAGAAACACTTCTATATAAAAAGTGCTCGCGAACTCTCTGATGAAAAGTAAGTCAATTATCTGAGGCCATTCCATGTGTCATTCCAAATAAGAAAGTAGACAAAACAAAGGTGTGTGAAAGCTACAAGTGTGCAGAAAAGCTGCTGATCACTCATCAAGCAAGGCCAGAATTGGCCTGACCGTTCCCAGATGTACAACAGAGTTATGGGTCCAGCATCTCAAGTCTTGACAAAAGCTAACTTTTCCAATCCAGCTCTTCCATTGGAGCTGGAACATAGAAAAATCGGGAGTAAAGGGTATTTATATTACGTTGACATATTTATCCCCCAAGGAAGTTTGATTCTAAATGACAGAAACATTGTCACATTTTCCAAAACAGAAAAGCTTTGGAAAACACTTTCTGTTATGGTTTGAAGGGGCTTTTGGAAAGCACATAACATTTTCAGGATTAAGTGAGATAATGTAAATAAGGTTTTCTCCAGAGCCTCGCCCAGAGAAACAGTTCTAAAAAGATTAGTTTCTATCTCTATCATTGTTATTTTTCTCTCTAAACCTCTTTAAAAACCAGAAAAAGCCACAGCTCTTCTAGAGATAAATGACACAAGACCCATAAACCTGGTGAGAGAGCCAGCCTGTGTGAGCTCTGGGTTTTAGGACAGACACATCACTGCTAAACTTTATCCTAAAACAACTTCTATGCCCAACAAAATAAGATCCTCATCAGTGTGGTGAGGTGGAGAATGAAGGAAGAATTTGTAGGTAGAAAATGAGAAAACCATCCTTTTTCTTTTTTCTTTTTCTTTTTCTCCTTTTGCTGGTCCTAAGGCTTGAACTCAGGGCCTGGGCACTGTCCCTGAGCCTCTTTGTGCTCAATTCTAGCAGTCTATCACTTCGAGCCATGGCATCACTTCCAGCTTTTCCTGAGCAGTTTACTAGAAATAAGAGTCTCACAGACTTTACTGCCCAGTCTGGCTTCAAACCACTATCCTCAGTGCTCAGCTTCCTGAGTAGCTAGAATTATAGGTGTGAGCCACAGGCACCTGCCTTATTCTTTTAATTTTATTTTCAGTTTTTAAATCACAATGACTTCCAAAAGGGTATTCCTCACTGGCTGATAATGCGTAGATGATGATTCTTACCACTTTTAGATCAAAATGATTTATGAAGCAAAATTTTGTTAAGAGCTTCTCACCCCATCCCCCCAAAAAAACTCATGGAATATAATTGTCTGGCCCATGCTAATAAATCCAAGCATCTTATGAATTGCATTCATTTGAAGCAAAGCTGATTGTAAACTTTTTCATTTAAATTTGTTTTTAATTGTTACATAAAAAATGTATATTATTTTGGAATACAATGTGTTTTGATGCATGTATAGATTGCACGATGTTCCAATTAAGGTAAACAAATACATGTCTTATAACATTTATCATTTTATTATGTTGATAACATTACAAATCTTTTTATTTTTCATTTTTGGAGGGGGGGCAGGTGCCTGGGGGGGGGGGGGGGCGGACAGTTCCTAAGGCTTAAAACTCAGGGCCTGGGAGCTGTCCCTGAGTTTTTATGTTCAAGCCTAGTACTCTACCAATTGAGCCACAGCTCCACTTCTGGCTTTTTGGTGGTTAACTGGAGGTCTTACAGACTTCCCTGCCCAGGCTGGCATTTAACTGTGTTCCTCAGATCTCTGCCTCTTATGTACCTAGGATTACTGGCGTGAGCCACCAGTGCCTGCCTCAAATTCTTTCTTCTAGCTTCTTACAATACACAGTTTATTATTGTTATCTAAGATGACTCTCAAAGCCTCCTATTCCTATTTACATGTAACCTCAATGAAAGCCTCTTCATGTGTTTATTGACCTTTTTTTACTTTTTTGGAAACTGTTTGATTCATTTGTCTAATTTTTATATTGGATTTTATGTTCTTCTGGTGTTTAATTTTTGGGTCTTTATATTCTGAATAATAATCCCTATCAGGTAATTAATTTTTATTATGAGAAGACACTAAATTGTATCAAAGAATTTTGTCCTTGATTCCATTCATGAGCTGAATTATGTTTGCTGACTTGCATATGTTGAACCATGCTCTGTGCTCATGGAAACGTTTGATAATGTCTGCAGTTGGCATGGTTAAACCTGGGAGAGAAAGTTCGATTGGCATCTAGTGTGAGGATGGTGCACACAACAACCCAAAAAGATTCCCTTGGTCACCCAGCCCCAAAGTCCTATAGAGTTGAATAGAACACCTGCCTGGAGGTATCTGTATCACTAGATTAAAAAATAAAAAATGAAAAACAAAAAGTTAAAATAGAGGGGGACTATTTAATGGAAGGGAAGACCAGTTGCAAGGGTAAAGAGATAAGAAGAGGTGAAAGGGAGTAATTACTATATATATATGTGGAAATGTCATAATAAAATTCATTATTTTGTATGGTTCGTATATCCTAGTAGAAATGTACTATTTGAAAATGAAGGAAAAGCTAATTTCAGTAAAATTCTAGGTTCTATTAGCACTATAAAATGCTTGAAAAGATTCTAAATATAATGCTCTGTCAATGATGTTTTCTAGAGCACACAGTCCTACCATCAACTGAAAAAAGAGAAACCTTTTTTAAATAATTTGTTTGTCCTTTAATTTTTCCAGAAATACCGCCTCCCATTTTTAAGAAATATTTTTCCAATAAACGTTATTCACTCATACCTTCTATTTTTAGCAAGCGTTTTGCTAAGTCTCTCTGGATCTCTACTGAATGAAGTGAAAGCAAGTAAAGATTTATAAAGTATATTTAATTAAATTTCATTTTTTTAGAAATAGGTAAGTAGGTGTTTAACTTCACAAAATGGAAAAGGTTCCTATTAGAATCCTTTAAAACTAACACAAATAATGGGTGATGTTCTAGGTTATTTCCTGATATTTTGGGAAGTTGAGGAAATCACTAATTTATATTCTACATTTTCCATTTCAAATTATTTCTTGCCTAATTTGTATAACTCCAACTACAGGAATATCAAAACTTTCCAGGTCTTATAGAATTCCATGAATTTTGAGACTTTGGGTCAGAAACTAAAACAATTGCTTAGCAATTAAAATTCTTAATTTGTCAAAAAAAAAAAGTATCACCAGGCATGATAACACACACCTGTAATACCAACTACTTAGAGAGGTAGGTGGGGATCATTAGGATCATGGAACAAAGTTAACAAGAGTCCAGCTCAATCATTATCCAGGTATGGGGGTGCATACTGGTGATCAAAGCCATGTGGAAAACTGGTCTGAGCAAAAACATGGGATTTTATCTGAAAAATAACTAAAATAAAGTAACTAAAGCCAAAAGAAAAAGGACTCAAGGTATGGCTCAAACACTTGTCTAGCAAGTAGAGGACAAATAAACAAAATCCTACACAGGACTCCAGTGAATGAGTTAGAAAATGACTCAGATGATTTGCACCTTGGCTTCATTAGGACTGAGCTACTTATAAACTCAATAGAATTGGAAACACCTACTGGCCAGCAATGTGACCAAACAGATTACTCACTTGTCTAAGAAAAGTGGGTTTTAGGAACTCATGCCTGAAATTTGGAAAATGGAGTTATTCATTTTGCAAATAACTCACTAACATCATAAATTAATTAAGCCAAGCAGCAAATATTTTCACAGATCAATGAGCTATTGCTAAAGGGGACAGTACAATTAAATTATAGCGTTGGTGAAATGTCATTGCTTTATCACAGTGGTCCTTTTAGAGTTGAGTCGTGTTAACTAATTCAACTATTCAACCAGAAGCTGTATTACTTCCAAAAATTCTAAGTGTCAAAACATCAATCCTACTTGGCATCTGGCCTTTGTGCTCAGCTCATCTTACCCCTGAGTTTTAAACATACTATTTCAGAAAGCAAAGTAAGAACAATACTTTGGTGGGGGTTGGGATGAATAAAGAAGGATGTAAAAAAAAAATCTTGCTAGAGCATAGAAATTAGCTCCTAATTGGCAGCCCCATTCTAAGGAGAAGTTGTAGCCCAAAATGATGACACTGGCAGCCTGACATTAGGCTGCTGAAAGATGGGGTGGTACGCAAATATATTCTACTCAAAAACAGGCTAATAGTAGAAAGAGAAACATAGGATGACAGGGTCAAAGGAAAAGATCATGCTAAAATCGCCAGATTTTTTCACCTCCCTAGGTTGTGCCTAGTGGCAGAAGACAGCTTTAAGAAACCCTGTCTGCACCTGTACAGGATTCTCTCCCTCTCTCCAGTAAGCACTAGAGGACAGTAAGCATCAACTACAACACTTGCTACTGAGGATCAACACCCGGCTCCTTCAGCCAGAGAAGTGTGACCTACTTCAACTGGGGATGAGCCAATGAGAAGTACAGGCAGGCAACCAAGGTTACTGCAAGTTGGTGGTATTCTACTAAGGGCCTATTCCTATTGGTTGGACTCCTCGTCAAGGTGGAGTAGAAATAATAATTTTCGGTGTGAGGCTGTCGTCCTTACTCAGTGTTCCCTTCTTTCCAAACCTTTATTAATTGTCATTTCCTTTAATTTTCCTCAATAGCTCCATTCAAGTGATCTCTTTGTACAGTCAGAACCCTGATTAACCCTTCAAAGCTCATCTAAGCTCATCTACTAAGTGAGTCTCCACCAGCATTTCCTCCTTTATCTCAGTCATCTGTGAATGGATGCCAAAGAAAAACTAGAAAGGCTCGAACAGAAATGCAATAGAATACTCTAGAAAGAGGCAAGAACTTTACAACTTGAGGAAGCGGGAAGTGGGGGGGGTAGTGGAAGAGAATGAAGGGGGGTAACATTATTCAAAAAGAATACTTATTACCTTACTTATCTAACTGTAACCTCACTATATATCATCTTTACAATAAAATTTTAAAACTAAACTACCCCTCCAAAAAAGCCAAAAAGAAAGAAAGAAAGAAAGCAAGAAAGAAAGAAAGAGGCAAGGAATTGAGTCTAACTTCTTGCTATTACTTGACATACAACTAAGTTAACACAAAGAAAACGTTGGGGAAAAAAAATGTCAAAGGTGAGTTTACCTGCGTTGATTAGATCTGCATCAACTTCATGCTTCATCGGATATGGACCCTATCAAAGACAGCCCATGCTCAGTTAGTGAAAGACAACTTTTCTGAATCCCATGCAAAAACTGTAATACACAGAACTTCCTGAAACTCCTAGGAAGACAGCATCCAAGGATTGTTGAAAACAAACTTTACAACTTCAGAGGGGGGTGGGGAGGGGTTTGGGGGAGGTGGGGGGGAAGGGATAGTAGGGAAAAACAAAGGAGGGGTAACGATGCTCAATAGGAAATGTACTCATTACCTTACTCATGTAACTGTAACCCCTCTGTGAAGTATGTTTACAATAAAAATATTTAAAAAAAAATAATAATTCCTTTATTTCTGTGTCTCTCTTTCTCATATTGATTAGTGTTTCTACATTCGCTTTCAAAATGGTCATGGGGCTTGAACTCTAGGGCTTGGGCACTGTCCTTGAGCATTTTTGTTCAAGGCTAGTGTTCTACCACTCTGAGTCACAGCACTACTTTCGGTTTTCTGGAAGTTAATTGGAGATAAGAGTGTCACGGACTTTCCTGCCCAATCTGGCTTTGAACAGCAGTCCTAAGGTCTCAGCCTCCTGAGTAACTAGGAATACAGGTATGAGCCACCAGCACTTGGCTGCCTTCAATATGTACATAAATAAGTGACACTAGAAAAGGAAAAATATCTTCTAAATATACCCATTTGAAAGATCTGCTGTATGCTATTTAAAATACATCAATAAAACAAAAAGTGATTTTTTTTTAGTACCTACTATGCTGTCACTTATTTACTAAATCTTTCTGGAAGGACCCCAGAGAATCAACTCCCAGATATGTTATTGACTAGTCGGAAAAAATTTTGAAAGGCAATTGTAGTTTTCTTTGTGTACTACTGAAGGTCTGAATTTGGGGTTCTAACCTTATCATTCTCTACATTTAAGTTTGGAAATCTTTATACTCCTTTGCTGAGATCTTTTCAGTCTGTTGTTGTTTTGGTTGTTTCTATGAATATACATGCATGTGTGCATGCGTGCAGGCATGCTGGGATTGAAACCAGAGCTAGGCAAGTGCTCTACCACTGAGGTATATTTTCAACTAAGGCGCTAATCACTAGCATGCACCACATAATTTTTCAATTTCAAAACAAAACATGAAAGAAAAGAAGAGGAAAAGTCAAGAATTAGGAATTATACTTTTCAAGAGTGATCAAAATTTTCTCCTATAAATAAAAGACACTAATCCTTTAAGGCTATGTACATTTCTCTTTTAAGTTGATCAAGGATAAGTCACAGACTTACTTCCCTTTTCTTCAGAATAATCACTCAAGACAAAAAGAATACAAGTCTTGGACTTTCATAGGAGTATATTTATGTCCAGTTGTTTTGTACTTGTGTGTCCAAAAAATGGTCATATTTGTTGCTTCAATTTGTCAGTGTCAACTTCATGCTTACATGCCAGCATAGGCAAGCTAAGATCATTATTCATATTTTGTATACAAGATATACATTTTCTATTTGTACAATTTGTGCTTTTATTCCAATACTAGTTAAGATCTACTGAGAAATAAAGTTTGTAAATATTACAAGTTGACAAACTACAAATAACATTAGTAAAGTAAAACTTGACAATTATTTTAATACTTTTATATTACTTTAAAACTTACCAAACCCAGAACACCATTTTCACTTTGAAGATGAACAGTCATATCTGGGCTGATAAAGTTACTGGCCAGAAGAGGGATTCCTATGCCCAAATTAGCTGAAAGAAAAGATGTTAAGGACCAGCAATGGCAAAGGGAGAGAGATTATACATTTAAGTCAGAGCAGATGCTTTCATTAAAAGGAGATTGTTGTGGATGTAATTACCTAATATATTCTTTAGTCACCCTCTGGGTAGTACTTTGTAATTTTCCATAAAGGAAATAGCTTTTTGATGACAGTTTTCTCTATAGCAGTAACATGTTTTCCTATAGAGATACCGAAAGAGTGGCTTCAGAAGCTAGTGAAGAGGTCATAATAAAAATATAAAACATATCTTATTTTTTTATTTGGATTGATATATGGTAAAGGATGTGTTATTAAACATCTTTGGAGCCTTGTTTAAATGCCATTTTCACTATACAAAACTCTTACCTGAAAAGATGATATAATATTTTAAAAACAAGTACTATGTTTAAATTAAAAACAAAAAGTCTGACTAGTGTGTATAAAGTACATAAATTCCTCTGGTTTGCTGTGGTAACATTACTTCAGAGAACCATAGAGAAAAATCAAGGGGTTTATTTCAGCAAATATAATGTGGTTTGGGTGGCGGGTACTATTCAGAGGGAACTAGTCTAATGAGAATAGATATTGTAAAAATACATTATGGTAGAAATAAATGAATAAATAAATAAAAGTAGAATGATGAAAAACAGAAAAAAATCCAAACACAAATTGTACTAATGTCTGCAGAACTTGAATTCTTTATGGATTTGAATCATTCCCTTACAAAACATCACACATAAAAGTGCATTCCACAGAATCATTATCAAGGAAATAGGGGTTTGTTGAGCAGTTGAATGTGATATTTCAAATGAGTATGCAAATATTAGAATATCAAGAAAATAGACAGTAAATATTTATAATAGTAATTCTGATATCTGAAGCCCTCATCTAAGGTGATTTCTTTTCCTAACAAACCCTATCCAAAAGTCAAACTGTATCAAAATCTACTGTATACTAGAAAATTATTATGTTAATTTTCAATTGCTATTTTGGCTAAAGAAGGCAAACAGATTATAATCAAGAGGCTTAGCCAGCTGATCAATATAGGAAAAGGAAGCGCTGTATCTTTGGCCGGTCTCAGAACAGTAAAGGATACCATACATGCCATCCTCAAATTCAAGAGCTGCCCTCTTGATGATACGTTCCCTCACATCAGCTCCAGGTTTGCTGGATTTGGATTGTCCATCTTTCTCCTTCCGGACAGATAAACGCTTTAAAATAAATAGAAATAAGTTACTCATGGTTGAAGGTATGGTTTTTATACTTCATCACCTCCTAGTATAAAGAATTTTCTGGGAAAAAAAATGAACTCTCATTATCACTAGGAGGCAAATCTGAAATGTAATCAAAGTCTTAAAAAAAAAGATGAACATGGGTGACATTTGATGACAGAAATAATTCTTCACATCTGCCCTGTCTCTTTGAAGTGATTAAATCACCTAGTACTGTCATACTCACTGCTACTTTGGGTACTGAATTCTCAGGCATTCAGAGATTGAGCCTGAACAAAGAGAAGGGAAGAAGCTTTGGAAATAGGTTGTTCAGGGATGTCAGAATGTGTTTACCAGGTGTTACTGCTGGCATTACCTACTGCCACCTGCAGAGACTAGACTAATTTTGCTATACGTATATCACATAAACATCCTGTAAAAAAAAAAAAAAGCCAGCAACTTTTTCCATTATTAAATATCCTTGACATAGACTCTTGTCTCTATTTGCAAATTTCCCTTCCTTTCTCCGAAGACCACTGACAATAGTTTTGGACAGCAGAATGTCTTTCTGTTGATGTCCACAGGGTTTTTAATACACCCTACTCTATGTCTGTTAAATCTCGACATCAATTTTAAACCAGCTGGCCATTTCTTGTAGTCTCACTGGCTTAAAAATATCTCCAGTGTTCCATGTCCCCTATTCGTTGTACAATCTCATTCCAACCCAGAGCTCAAAGCTAAAAATGATATTCTTTCTACATTCCATAAAAGTACAACATAACTTCAAGATAGAAATATACTTTTGAGTAATCAAACATTAAGGCTAGAAACATGTTTTTGAGGAAGGGTAAAGGGGTAGACACACAAACAAACGGGAGGAGGAAAGGTGAGCAAATGTAGTCATTATATTTGTTGTACATTGTGTAAAAAAAATGAGTTATGTAAATTGAGGATAGGGATGGAAGGAGAGAAATAGGGGAGAACAAAAGAAGGAGTGGCATTGACCAAGAAGCATTGTACTTATAACCTGACTTACAGAACCATAATCTCTCTGTACAACTAGATCGTCATCATCAAGACTACAGCAAAGACCTGATTATGCTTCTTCACCCTCTAGGACAGCCAGCCACAGAAGCCTGGTAGTCACAGCCTAAAGAATTATGGGACATAATCACATGCCTACCTTGTAGAAACAAGGTAGTATGAGCCTAGAGAATACCAAAGAAGTGTCTAGTAAGACCCAAAGCAAAATTTGCTTCTCAGTTCCAACTTTCTGTCATCTGGAATCACTCTAGGGATGTACCTGCCCCTAAATCAGACTCATAAAAACTGACAAAGAATCCAAGTCAATTACTTCAATTCGCTTTTCATATTTTTCTCCCTTTATAAGGCGATGCACATAAATCTTAGGAACATGTATATCTTCTGCAGCAAATGATCCAACATCTACAATTTCTTCAACCTAGACAAAGAGAAAATAATTAAATTAGATCACCAAAGCTGAAAAGAAACTTTGAAAAAGTGAAAAAAATGCATCCTCTCTTCCAACTTAGGTTGGATATGCAAAGCCAATATACATATGAAAGAATAAGTATATGTGTCTATGTGTACACACATAGATATGTATGTGTATGTTATATATTCCACAAGAGAGAAATTCAAATACATGTGCCTGAATACAAAACACAGTACAGAAAGCTGCAGAACTTAGTCGTTTCCTAAAAAAGCTCCAGTTATAAAGTTATCAAATGGTTCTCGGCACAGCTGCTTGAACTTTCACAAATTGCAGATCAATTATGCAAAATCTGAAAGCCCATGCGTTAAACACAGAGTCTTAGAACTAGTGGGAAATTAATCATATCAATGACAAAAATCTGTAACCACATCTGCTTGGTCAACTGAAGAGCTTTTTAAGTATAGACACAAATGCTATTTGTAACAGTTTTTAATTATTCCTATCCTTAGCTTCCTAAGATCATGACAGAACTATAATGGCAGAAATAATGTTCAAGCTATATAATCAATTCTAATATGAAAGTTTCAGGAAGGAAATGTTAATCATTAGAAATAGTCGATTTAATTAGACTTAGTCATCCCTGGGACATTTTATAGCAGTGTGAAATGCTACCAAGTTAGTCTATTATTTTAGAACTCAGGAAAAATAATTTCCAACATATTTTTGAAGAAACTCAAAGAAAATATAATTGTAACATTGCTATAGTGAAAGAATTAGCTTTCTGATGAAAAATCAGATATTCTGCTTCATAAGTGCCTTATATCATTTGGATTTTCAGTGTGGCCACGCCCTGTGCCTTAAATACTTGGGCCACTGGGTAGCATGATTGTGAACTGGTAGGATCTTTAAGAGGTGGGTCCTTGCGGGAGGTCTTTTTATCATTAGGAATGGGTAAAGAAGAGCATAGTACCCTATCCTCATTATCTCTGTACTATGCTTCCTTGCCATGAAGCAAACAAGCCAGTTTGCCCTTCACACATTACCCACTACTTTCACTTAGAACTGCCCTCGGAGACCTAAAAGGCTAAGGCTAAGTCAGCCTGATCACTCAGGGTAACTGTTTATTTTTGTCAGCTAATTATCTCTGGTATTTTATTACAATAATAGAATGTTGATGAATACAATACTCAATGTAAGTCATTATTTGCTTAAACGAATCGACTTAATGACACAGAAAGAGCTGTGCTGCACTTTTACTCTAAAATATTAACTAAACTACGCCCCAAAGTTTGTGGCATTACTAGCCCTCCTTATGTTGTGGTAGTTCTGTAGGCCTTCACCAAACTCCTCCTATGGTGAAGCATACCAGTGATTACAGAAGACAATTTAGTTATTGTACAATGGTCTAACTAATTTTAAAACACCAAGACATACATGCTAGACAAAAGCTACCTTCCTTGATTAGTAAAAGAATATGGACAGAACTGGGGGAAAACAAAAACAAAAATGACTCAGAGCTGAAGAGGCAGTAAGCAGGCAGACACCCATGCTGAGTTAGTGTGCATAGATGTATCTGAGGATGAGTTAGGGGGAAGCAAGGGTGCTTCTGGCCCTGAACAGTGTCTCCTCCTCCAGACTTTGCTGTGCCCTGGTATTTGCTCTCTATCCCAAGTGAGGACTCGCTAAAGAGAAGGTAGGGATGGGACAGTTTAATAACAGCTACACCCTGTTACTACCTCTGCAATGAGCTGAAACTTCCAAAAGTTAGGACCCATGCATATCTTTACACTCTTTTAGTTTAAGCCTTTAAAAAATGTGTTTATATATTAATGCATTATATTAAGGATACCTGTGAAAATTATATGTGAAAACATTAATTACAACATTCATGATAATGAGTTAGAGATCACTGAAGTGTTCAACAATAAGAAAATGGTAAAAAATAAATAAATAGCGTACCCACATGATGAATAGTATTATATTCTCATGTTTGATGATGTCATAATATTTTTATTTATTTTCTGTACATTTTATTGTAAAAATACTGTACAGAGGGGTTACAGTTACATGAGCAAGGTAATGAGTACATTTCCTATCAAGCATTGTTGCCTCCTCCTTTGTTTTTCCCCTTCCATCCCTTCCCTCTGTCATAATATTTTTGTTGTTGTTGGTGGTGGCCGTGGGACTTGAAGTTAGGGTTTAGGCACTGTCCCTGAGCTTTTGCACTCAAGGGTAGTGCCCTACCACTTCGAACCACAGTGCCACTTCCAGTTTTCTGGTGGGTTAACTGGAGAAAAGAATCGCAGGGACTTTCCTGCCTGGGCTGGCTTTGAACCATATCCTCAGATCTTAGCCTTCTGAGGAGCTAGGATTACAGGAGTGAGCCAAGGTACACAGAGACACGTCAAAATTTAATGTTATAAAAAATGCAAGATTTTGAGTAAGGAAGTGTTAATATATATGTAATTACTTTTGATAAGCATATTATTTAACTGTACATATTAAGGAAAGTGTAATACTTCGTGCACATGGTATGGGTGGGCACTGGTCAAATCAATTATCAGTTCCTTTCAGCATACTATTTGTATACTGATTCCAAAGAATTTTTTTAAAAAGTATGCCGGCACTGGTGGCTCACACTTATAATCCTAGCTACTCAGGAGGCTGAGATATGAGGATTGAGGTTCAAAGCCAGCCGGGGCAGAAAAGTCCCCATGAGACTCTTATCTTCAATTAACCACTCGAAAACCAAAATTGGTGCTGTGACTCAAGTGGTAGAGAGCTAGCCTGGAGCACAAAGAGGCTCAAGGACAGGGCCTCAGCCCTGAATTTAGGCCCCACAACCAACAACAACAACAAAAACATAGCAAAAAAACAACTGAAGTATATTGTAGGTAACTGAGTTCAAGCCCCACAACTGACAAAAGAAAAAAGGTGTATTGTAGTTAATAATTACTTCTTCTGAGTAATAGTGAAGTTTACATTTGTTTGCCTTTTACAGGCAGAAGCTTACGAAGGGGTGGGGGATTGGAGGGGAGGTGCTGGGAATTCAACACACTTGTCCTGCATGTGCTAATAAACACACACTATGAACTCTATCACCAGCCCCTCATAAATGTTGTTTTTTCTAAAGATGCAATAGATAAGAAGTAATTTCCCAAACTAGAAAATAAGTGGAGCATGTGATAAATTTCACAATTAGATGTACCAAAAAGGTTTGGCTTTTAAAAAAATGAACTGAAGGAGCTGGGCCCCAGTAGCTCACGCCTATAATCCTAGCTATTCAGGAGGCTGATATTTGAGGATCGAGGTTCAAAGCCATCCCAGACAGGAAAGTCCATAAGACTCTTATCTCCAATTAACCACCAGAAAACCAGAAGTGGCACTATGGCTCAAGCGGTAGAGCACTAGCCTTGAGCTGAAAAGCTGAGGGAGTGTCCAGGCCCAGAGTTCAAGTCCCACAATGAACCAAAAAAAAATTTTTTAATAAAAAAATGAAATTTAAAAAGGAGGAAGGAAATGAACTGGGAAAAAAGCACTAGTTTCTAAACTATAAAATCAGTTACAACATTATGAAATCATTATGAACTTTGTTTTAAAGGATAGCCTGGCACTCTCCCTACTTTATAATTCTGAAAAGTTTTATTTTAAAGCTCAGAGAAAGAAAGTATTCATCTCTTGGTGACAATGTTTTTGTGTTTACTTAGCAAATATTATTTATATCTCAGGTAAGAGAACAGAGAAGCTGGGAAGCAATAACATTCTTATTTTTTTCATTTTATTTCAGTGACAACCTCAATCTGTTACAGCCACAAAAGTGAGCTGGCCCCTGAAGATTGTTAGTGTAACATTCTGAACACCTGCAAAACTCGGCGAGTGGTACCAAGCGAGAGTTCCGTGAGGAGGAAGGGGAGACTCACATCTACATTATTTTTTTCATCTCCTGAGTCATTTTAACTTCCAAAAAAGCTTAGGAAGAACTTTTTCTTTCCTTTGCCAAGAAATAAAAAAGCAGACAACAAGAAGCAATAAATTCTAAAATCATGAGAAACACTAAGCAACCCAAAATAGAAGGGGGGAAAAAAAAAGCCAACTGTGGAAGGCTAGGAAAAGAGAAGAAGTAGGCAATGAGCAATCACAATGCTACAGTTAGAGGGAGAGATGCTCTGATGCCAATTTAACTCGAGTAAAAGGCAGAGGAAATGTGGAGAAAAGGAGAGGTCAGCACAAAGGACATCATTCTCAAAACTCCAAAGGAAGAAAATGTCCAAAAAGAACCAGGTGAATATCTCAAAGTTTTGTGCTAAGATATGATATAACTGGTACACGAAAAGACAAGCAAAACAAAATAAGAAGGTAGCATGAAATCCTCAAGAGCCAGGAATGTGTGCGTGTGTGTGTGTGTGTGTGTGTGTGAGTGTATATATATATATATATATATATATATATATATATATATATATATACACACACACACATTCTTGGCTCTTTATATTATATACATATATATTATATGTATGAGTTTAGATGTCTATAGTGACATGTCTAAAGACTGAAAAGGTAAGTGGCTATCAGTGAATCTGAAAAACACATAGCTATCCATGTCACACATATTATTCTTAGTTCTATGTATAATTCTATTTATCAGCACCTAAAAACAGTAGTGAATGATTGCAAAGTTGCTATTAAAACATGCAGATTGGGTGTCACACCAATAAACATTCTAAAATGTCCAGTGAAACTAAGCTGACAATAAAAACAAAAATGCTCTGTCAAGAAACCACAAACCTAAGGATGAAATGTGATGAAGAATATTTTTTTTAATTTTATTGCATTGTACAGAGGGGTTGCAGTTACATGAGTAAGGTAATGAGTACATTTCTTGTCAAGCATTGTTATCTCTTCCCTTGTTTTCTACGATTATCCCTTCCCTCCCCCACCTCCCTGACTCCCCACTCCCGCCCCAAGAAACAATGACACAGGATGACCTACTACAACAATGATAC